TACCACTGATCAAAAACTGTATTTGGAAGTTTACGCAATGCTTATACCCCACCTGATAAACAACCATTTGATGTCAACCCTTCAACTTCCATCATTATAAAGATATCTGTTGTGTAATTTTACATGGATTTCTTTGTTAATTGACAAATACTTTATTTTACTGTTGTCACTAATTTTACATAATTTTAGAAATGTAATAATATTAAACTTGAATTTAGCAGTTTATTCTATTAAATAAACAGTAAATAAAATAAATTAGTATTTTAACTGTCTTTATGTGAAGAAATTACATTTTCTCTAAGCAGTAATTTTATGATTTACAGTTTTTCCACGTTACTTTACATTAAACATGTAAATTCACAAATTTTGTAATTTTATTATTATTTATAGTATTTAAATGTAAATGTACAGATTTTTTTTACATTTTATTTTTGTACATAATGGTTCTACATTGCAAGGTTGATCATTTTCAACCTTAGCAAATGATAAACAATTTTTTTATTGATCTTAGTACACCATATTCATGTTTCCATCAGAAGTCTGTGTAATACGACTGTTTAATGATGAAAACTTTTTCCTCACATGATGCATTTCTGGGTCAACTTCCTGTTTTAATGACACAATTTTGATTATACAGTTTTACAGCGAGGGCTCAGCAAGGCGAAGGAACTAACCCCCCTATAGTGATACTGTCCCAATCACCCCTATTCTGTTACTAGCGTTATGTCTCTGTGTGATCGACCCCTTACTGTGGTTCTCCAGTATGAACCTGCTTAGAATTACTGTAGTATGTCATAAATAAACTTTAAAGTACATATTTAAATTCTTCACACTGTAACGCAATGCAGTCCTCATTATACTGTATATTAATATAAATCCCCTATATTCAGATGGTAAAATGTAAAAAGGAAGCATTTCATTAGACATTCACAACTGACATTTTCCTCATAGATGGATTTTTTTTCTCCCATGGTTAATTAAGTTGCAAACCGTTAGTGCCGCCACAAAGCGTATCCATCAGCTCACATCTGTGAAATGTTTTATCATCACGGAGGAACCCAAATACCACCGCGGATTCTGACAACGATGAAAGAAATGTCAATGCTCTCTTTGTCATAAATCTTTACGGCACTCAGAGTCACATCAGAACAGATACTCATCAGAAATAAACGAGAACGTGGGCAAACTATCGTGACCTCATGATGCCATAGACCTTTTTATTGATATTTTCACAACAGCAGCAGTGCTTTTTTGTGCTCCCAGCGGGTTGGATTTCATCCTCCAGAGCAGAGAGCGGTTACAGTGCATCGCATGTGTGTGCAGAAGCGTTGTACAGCAGAAGCTAACCCGGATGAAATGCAACTTCCATTGGATTGACAGAGCCACCAGATGAGTTTCACACTGAGCTGATCAATACTGTACACAGAGTCTATTCACCACAGAGCTGCAACAGAGCAGGACGGCTACAGTGCTCAAACACCCAACATGGCTGCGGAGACGTGGCTCGGTTACAATGTGGGAGCCACGAGGAGGAGGTCACTACTCTCTGGCAGCCATCTTTGATGTTGTGATACAGCAGGACTGTATAATTCTGTTTTTTCTTCTTTTTTTTTTACTCTCAGTGCAACAAGCTCCCTGCAGCCGATTTACGGCGATTACTCATCAACAAATGCATGTTTTTATTACTTATTAAAGGAATAGTTTCACAAATGAGCTCTTGAGCTCGGCTGCTAGGAGTTAGATGATCGGATTGATACCACTCTCATGTCTGTATGTTAAATATGAAGCTAGAGCCACCAGGCCATTAGCTTAGCTTAGCATAAAGACTGGAAACAAAGTGAATGTAGATTAGTTGGCTAGTTAGCTAGTTTTTTGCTATTACTAGCTAACATGAATTAATTTGTTACATTTTTTTGTCTTTACGTTTCTGTTTGTGTACAGATTAAACAGTATGTGTTAGTTACCGAGCTTTAGAGGTGTTAGTGGGTGTATTTTTAACTTTTGGACGGAGCCAGGCTAGCAGTTTCCCCCTGCTTCCAGTCTTTATGCTAAGCTAGGCTAATTGTCTCCTGGCTCTAGCTTTATACTTAACAGTGAACTCCACTGATTTTTTACAGAATCATAGTGTTTCCAGGTGTTGTACTGTATGTTTTAGACTTTAGTGTCTCCAGAGGGCGCTGTGTGAAGTCTGATAAATCTCCTCGAGTGATATCACTTGAGTCAGCGTCGGCTGAAGACTAAAATCTGGTGTGGAGGTAGAAAGAGGCGATCTTACCAGACCTCTGCAGCTGCTCCTCATCTCTGCTGAGGACTAGAGGCTTCAGGCTACATTAGCCGCTACTAGCATAACACACCCAATCTCTGACTGAACTGGCAGCGCTCGAGTTGCATTGTGGGTAATGTAGGTTTTGACAAGAAGAAGAACGTGTGGGAAAAAAAGTTCTGCTCCATCGATTTTGATCCTTTACGTCCATCGTGAGTCCGACAGAGACATGAGAATGGTGTCAACTATTCCTTAAAAGTGAACAAGACAGGGTTCCAACACATTTTAGATCACATTCTGAGATTTCCTAAATGATGGCACAACATGAACAGGGCTGTAGCTGTCCCCAAGGCAACCTCATACCCACCCCAAAACAGTCTCTTTATTTATTATATGTATTTAAATACCCCTGGAAATCAATGAAACAAGGCGGTAGAAGCACTTTTGTCCACAGGGGCTGCCAGAATTAACACAACATTTAAGTTCCTAGCACATAGTAGATCTAAGTACAGGAAAGGAGAAAGTCGACCGAGGCCTTCTTAACTTAATTTTTAATATTACGTTTAGTGTAAATGTGCACAAATTGTTACTTTGGTGTGTAAAAACAACAAGATTTGTATCATTAAAGTGCCCTAAATGCTGCCGTAGTACCTTGTAAGTCTGCTCTAACATTAAGAGGAGCAGACTAAGTCGTAATTCACTTCATTTGTTAATTATGAAACTTAATCTTAATGTAATACTGATGCCTCTATGTGACTTATATAAACAAGACAATCTGAGAGAAGATTGGATATTTCTATAGTTATTTTTAATGCCTTAATCAGATTGCCACTAAAAACACTACCGTTTGTGTCCACAGGGGCCGCCAGAATCAACACTAAATGAAATTCCTTGTAGCTGCTTTAAATTATATAACTATGATCATATCTTCTTACACAGTGGCCTAAATACCTGCTCCAAAATGCCAAGGCTTTAATACAACTGAAAATCCTGAATTCATTTTTTTGGATCTAAAAACATTTAAATTATATAATTTTAACTTTTAATAATATCAGAATGGGCCTTTAAAAACTCACCATGTGTAATTTAAATTCCCCATCAGGTTCTTATAATATCCTGAGTGGTAGCTACAGCCCCGAACACGTACAGCTTGAGTTCCATCACCAGCACCTTGTTGTTGTTGTTGTTGTTACAGTTTTTTGCATCTTTTTCTGACAACCTGCAAGCAAACAGACTTCTGTTTGAATTTTTTTCCCCAAAAAAACTGTTCTTTTAAGGGATCAGCAGCAGCTAAAGCTTGACATTTATCATGTGACCGTTTGGTGGGAGGAAAAGGGTGATTTTGATCAGAATGACATTTTCCAGCGTTTAAAAAAAAAAAAAAAAGAATCTTCCACAACTTTCTCCTCCGGATGTGGAAGACACCAAATGCCAAATTCCAAGATGCGACTGCGGGAACCCTCCTGTCCGTCGTCAACCCTGTTCGAGTAGATTTGTGTTTGTTTAGCCTGACATGAAATGGAACATCAAAGCTAATATTAACAATTAAGAATGCATCTTTAACGAGAGGTCTGGTAGATAGAATTGGCCCCTCAGAGTCGGAGCTATTTTACAGTGTGACACCCATTCCACTGAGCACAACCCAGACTCCTCAGGTAAATTAAGGGAAGAATCACACTGATGCATACGGATTTACACTCATTTTGGAGCCTTGTTTAAAGTGAACATCAGTAACAGCAAGAAAAGAAAAGAAAATACGTTAGAGCCCGGCCGAGAGAGGAGAAAGAATTATTACCGATACGGCATGAGAATCTTTGAGCTAGAATGAAAACAGTCTGATTTTGTACTGATTTGAATTTGCAAAGTTACTCTTAAATATTCTTTAATAAAGCTATTTTTTTGAAAGAATATTTAACTTAAATATTCTTAAACACGTTAAATAATTTAACCAGTTCTAGTGGCTGAAAGCTGCTTCTGAGCTCTTATTCTCTGCTGTTTGCCTCAGTGTTTTAAATCACAGCGCCTTCTGCTGGACAAACGTTACACTGATACCAACAATAATGATTTTATATTGCGCAACAGGCCAATATCAGCCGATAATATCGGTCGGGCTCTAACATACTTACACTGGCCACGAGGAAAAAAACTAATTGTGTCTTTTTCTCAAACTAAAATCATGCTTTTTATCTCCATCTGGGCCAGGCACGTCTGAGGAACAAAACTAAACTGTAGTAGGCACCAGTATTTCCCCTTATTGAGTCAGGAAAATGAAACACAAATCTTATTTTTTGCCCTTGGGGCTCTTGGTAGCTTAGTCCTAAGCTGTTTGTGCTTACAAGCCAACTGACGTTGACTGTCAAACTCATATGGCAAAGTGAGTCTGCAGGCTGCAGTCCAGTGCAGCGTACAGGCGGGAAAGGCCCCCGCTGTCTGGGGCTATGGGCTTTCTCCAAGTCACTATAATAACACCAGTCACAGAGCTTCACCTCCTCTGCACCAACTGCAGCTGCCTATATGTTTAGATTACATCAGATCACACAATGCAGACGGGATGGCAGCTCAATACATTTCCACAGTCCTCAGGCTCATTCTGCAGCCACATTACCATAAACAATGTGTGGGCGCCCTCAGGGGAAACCTGGGGAGTGACATATTTGTGGGTGGGTTTCTGGCATTATACAGATGATTAGAGATGGGGTCTGAAGGGGGGGGTATTATGGCTGGTCGTCATCGTTCATGCCCTGCAGCATTTAAACCGTATTAGTTTGTGGAAAGCCTGTTTGAAGTCCTCGTTAGACATGGTGTAAATGATGGGGTTGATTAAAGAGTTGAGGTAACCCAGCCAGGTGAAGATGTCAAATAGCTCCGGGTGGAAGCAGGACTCGCACACAGGCACTAGAAGAGTGTAAATGAAAAACGGGAGCCAGCATATGATGTAGGCTCCCAGGATTATTCCCAAAGTTTTGGTGGCCTTCCTCTCCCGGGCGGCGGAGATCCGCTTCTTCTCCAGCAGCGCGTCGGACACAGTGACTTTGACTTGGCTCACGTTCGCGGACGAGGTAGTGTCACAGGAGGAGGTGTCGTTCGTCCCGTAGTTCAGGGAGGTTGTGGACGCCACCGAGCCGGGGGAGTTGGTGATCAGGTGCGCCGAGGTGAGCCTCTTCCCCGGCTTATTGTGCGACTGCTTCAGGATGCGCTTTCGTGCCTCCACATAAATCCTCCCGTACAGCGCGATGAGCAGCAGCGTGGGGATGTAGAACGCGCCGAAGGTGGAGTAAATGGTGTAGAAAATGTGGTCGGTGTTCACGTTGCAGCTCGTCACCTCCTCCGCCTTCACCTGGCGCCAGAAGAAAGGCGGCAGGGAGATGGAGATGGCGATCACCCAGGCGGTGGCGATCATGCCGGCTGCGCGCGCCGGCGTGCGCTTCTTGGAGTACTCCACCGCGTCCGTGATGGCCCAGTAGCGGTCCAGCGCAATTACGCACAGGTGGAGGATGGACGCGGTGCAGCACGTTATATCCGAGGACAGCCAGATGTCGCACACCACCTGCCCCAGCGTCCACGTCTGGCTGACCGTGTAGAGCGCGCTGATGGGCATCACCAGAATGGACACCAG